GTCCTTGATGGGGGTGCTGGAAGGTGCTCCAGCTGGGGACTTATTTATTCTGCTGGGGGACTTTAATGCCCATGTGGGTAATGACAGTGTGACCTGGAGGAGCGTGATTGGGAGGACCGGACTCTCTGATTTGAACTCGAGCGGCGTTCTGGTGTTGGACTTCTGTGCTAGTCACAGTTTGTCCATCTGGGTTTGTCCAGCTGAGGAGGGGAAAGCAGCTCTTTATTAACGCTGTGTTCAGTGAAGGTGGGCTGCTGTTGACCTCAACCAATGATGTCGTCGGGAGGTGGAAGGAATACTTCTCGGACCTTCTCAATTCCACCTTTCCACAGTCCCGTCTTCCATGGAGGAAGCTGAGTCAGGGGACTTCGGGGTTGGTCTGTCCATAACCGTGGCTGAGATTGCTGAGGTAGTTAAAAAGCTCCACGTGGCAGGGCTCTGCGGGTGGATGAGATTTCCTTAAGGCTCTGGATGTTCTTGGGCTGTCTTAGTTGACACGCCTTTGCAACATTGCATGGACATCTGGGGCAATGCCACTGGATTGGCAGACTGGGGTGGTGGTTCCCCTCTTCAAAAAGTGGGACTGGAGAGTGTGCTCCAATTATAGGGACATAACTCTCCTTAGCCTCCCTGGTAAAGTCTATTCTGGAGAAGTAATTCAGATTGTTGGTTGAACCTCAGATCGAAGAGGAACAATGCAGGTTCTGTCCTGGCCATGGAACACTGGATCAGCTCTTTACCCTCACTAGGGTCCTCGAGGGGTCATGGGAGTTTGCCCATCCAGTCTAGATGTGTTTTGTGGACTTGGAGAAGACTTTTGACTGTTTTCTTCAAGGTACATTGTGGGGTGCTCTGTGAGTATGGAATTGGGCTCCCATTGTTACAGGCTGTACAGTCTCTATACAAGTGGTGCGAGAGTTTGGTTTGCATTGCCGGTATTAAGTTGGACTCTTTCAGGGTGGGAGTTGGACTCCGCCAGGGCTGCCCGTTGTCACAGATTTGGTTCAGAACTTTTATGAACAGAATTTCTCGGTGCAACCAGAGTGCGGAAGGAGTCCGATACGGTGGTCTCAGGATTCCATCTCTTTGAGAGATTGAATGAGGTTGAGAAGTTCAGTTCAGTTATCTGGAAGATGAACCTCTGATCCTCCACATCGAAAGGAGCCAGTTGAGGTGGTTCGGGCATCTAGTAAGGATATGTTTCCTGGGTGCCTCCCCAGGGAGGTGCTTCAGGCATGTCCGACTGGGAGGAGATCCCAGGGAAAACCTAGGACACACTGGAAAGACTGTTTCTTGGTTGGCCTTGGGGTCCTCCCAGAAGAGCTGGAAGGGGTGGCTGTGGAAAGAGATGTCTGGGCCTTCCTGCTGGCTGCTGCCCCATGCGACCTGACTTTGAAACAAGTGGAAGATAACGGATGGATGGATAGTTTTGTTTGTTTGTTTGCAGATATCACTAAACTTTGGGTTCGTTTGCAACACATTGTTCAAAATACGGTGGAACAGCAAAGCCTGTTCGTTGTTCTAATACACCTAAAATTGAACTTTCTCTCTAACATGCAGCGAACAAAAGGTAAACTTTGCACACTTTGCTCCCGGCTCTAGGCCCATATTAAATGTCAGCCTGCAGGCAAGAAACCATACAGTTCAACAACTGTGAACCAGAGTCAGACGTCAACAAGATGTTTGTGTTGTGTTTTTTTGACCTGTATTACAGAGTCACTGTTATCTTCCCGTGTCTGCAAGTGATGGTATCTCTTCTTCTCTGCTGATGCTTTAGCAGTGTTTTCTCTTGAAACACACATATACACAAAGAAAAATTAAAGTGTAGCAAGAAACAAGAGTCTTTTTAGCCTGTTAGAAACTATAACGTAGGAAACTGAAAGATAACCATACTATAAAGGAGGTTATTTACAGATTAGATGCACTATGTACAAATTGTGGAATGAGTTAAGAATAATATGAATAAATAATTCCAGTAAACTTATATTGCTGGATCGCTGAAATTGACATCAATATCCCATCTCATTTACCATAAATGGGATGGGAGAGAGAGTAAGTTAACTGTTTGATGAGATTTAATGACAGCTCCAGTCACTGGACATCATTGAAGGCACTGCGGTTCATTGGAAAGACTGGTCAGTACCTGTCTCTGGTTAGCTGTATGTCCAAAAGTGTCCATTTAAAATGGTTTGAGCAGGTGCAGATTCTCAGGTGGAAGAGAACAACTCCCGTCACGACAGGAAATAGGCAGCGTCTTCAGTTTCATGAACTTCTGTTTGCGGGGAAAACAAGTCCTCAGGTGATCAGTGATTGACTGATCTGCATCTGTTTGTCCTGTCTCACAAGACTCCCAACATCCTAATTTTGAAGGCCAAGAAAAAGGTCATTTGTTCAACTTTAAGAAGCAAGTACCGGTAATTTTCTGACAGTTAGACATGGTTGTTCCATTTTGTTACAAAAGAATGAGTTCAAGGTACATAGACAAGAAAGGTTTGAAAGGGTGACTCACGCAGAAAGAGTAAGAGTGAAGGTGCTAATGTCTTTTGTAGCCATTTTCATCCACTTCACTATTTCTTGTACAGAAGTGCAAATTAAACTGCACTCATGAGTTTCAACCCTACCACCAGTGCTTTTAAATGTCTGCCAAAGAGGTGAGGACATATTAGTTATCAGTGGCAGGAAAAGTGGGTTGAATATTTCCCACACTTCCACCACTGTCGGTGTTCTAGCCAACATGTGCCTTTTGAAGACACTTTAAAGACAAGAGGGAGGAAGCAAGATTTTATGCAACCTTCAGAGGAAGAGGCTCCGTGTCCTATTAAACATGAAGCCCATTAGAGCTCTATTAATACCAACCTCTGTGTGGGATGTGTGTGTGATCGTGGCCTACATGCACTTCCTGTATGAAAGGGTGTGTGAAGATTTTCAACCACAGATGGTGATATGTGGGTCATGGGCAATTCATAAAAATGTCTTTCTCTAAGTGCATGTGTTGGATATATTAACTCAGAGATCAAATTTAGTCCAGCTGATTCTTTTAAAACTTGCTTTCTGTGACCCACAAATATTTTGAGCACACAATCAGACAGATATAGATGCACCGCAAAAAAACAGACTTTGTTAATGACGTAACGTTATTATCATACTAAAGTTGTGCCATATACACAGAATACCCCTCAACTTTAGAGAACTTTGGACACTGTTCAGCAGGGCCACAGATGGTCATCTGAGTCCTGCGCTGACTTGAATCACTCTGATTTATTTCTGTCATGGTGAATTCTTAACAGGGACAAATTCAAAATGATGCTTGTAGAAAATGTGCATGCTATTTCTTAAACTGATATCAAACTTAAAATGTTAGTAAAACTAAAATTTACCCACCTCTAAAAAATTGCGGACTATTGTATATGCTTTAAAATGATACACAATAAAGTTGTGCTAATAATGATTAATTGATAAAAAAACAGAGATGATATGATATGATATGATACGATACGATACGATACAATATGATATGATACGATACGTTACGATGATACGATACGATGCAATATGATCCGATATGATACGATATGATGATATGATATGATACGATATAATATGATACAATGTGATGTGATATGATATGATACGATATGATACAATATGATCCGATATGATCCGATATGATACGATACAATATGATACAATGTGATGTGATATGATATGATACGATATGATACAATATGATCCGATATGATCCGATATGATGATATGATACGATACAATATGATACAATGTGATATGATATGATACAAAAGGCTGCAGCACAATTCAAAATAACACAATAAGATATGATACAAGCAAAAACAGTACAATATAATACAAGACAATGAAACATAATGCAAAATGATATGGAACAATATGTTTCACCATGATACAATATAATACAATAAGATACAATATGATCACCATGAAACAAAATAATACAATACAATACTTAAAGATACAATTCAATGAATACAAAACTGAAAATTCAAAATGATGTGAAGCAACACAATACAAAATTGTATGACTGTATGATACAATATGATAATTTACAATGTGACATGAGACTATATGATTCAATTTGACCAAATATGAAACAATGCAATATAATACAATTTTTTTACAATACAGTAACAAATGTGATGAAATAAGATCCAACATAAAAAAATAATATTTTATGATACAATTCAATACAACACAATACAATGCAGTGCAAATGAGACAATACAATATAGTACAATTTGATTCAATACAGTACAAAATGAAATGATGCACTATGATCAGGTCTGATGTGATTTGTACTTGATGCAGTCCTAGTGGCTACCTTCACAAAAAAAAAAAAAAAAATCAAAAACATTAAAGCCGATGCACAATATAAACATGACCCACCTGTAAACTGTAACACAGTTTGTTTTTGGATAACTCTAAACTCTGTGCACTTGTGTTGCAGTTTTGTTGTTATTCTTGTGCAAAAATTGTATCTTAAAACTGCTGTTTTAATTAAACTCTTGACAATCAGGATGATCTTCCTCCCAAAATACCACTATGCAAATCAGATAGTGTTACAGAGTTGGCATCGATCACCTGTTTAGTCTTCAAAGTGCATGTCATTATAATAAACTTTAATTTTCTGCCTGCAGTACATGTGGTGTTTAATTTAAGACAGCCCTTGCTTGTGTGAGACTATGTTTGTCATTCTAAACATTTTAGGATATTTTTAAAGATCCAGCATCTTTCATAATTCTGATCTTGAAAGAACAAAAGCATCCTTAAAATGAACACGATGACATTTTACCTCAGCATTAACTATTAAATTAGTATTTTTCCACGCAAGACACTAATCTTAATGAATGCTTCAAGGCATAATGCACTTTAACAACAAAAGAGGTAGAGCTTAAAACAAGCCTGAAGCAAGAAACCAGAAACTCCAGTTCTCATTATGATCTTGTCACCGTTTGGCAGGAAAACCGTCCAGCGTTCTCATACAGCTGAAGCTTTCACAAAGACAGCAGAGGAAACAGGATCTCTGGGCTGGGGTAAGAAAATGTTTTGTTTTGGACAAATGGACTAACTTTCTTTGTGTTTTGGATCTGAAAGAGTCTGAAAAACTCTTGTCTGCAATATTAACTCACATTTTTTTAGCTTTTATGTTCATTGATGTTTCAATTACTGTGCAAGTAATTATTTTAAATGATAGTTTATTTGATCTGTATCACATATGTGGTTGTTTTTCTTGTGTTAAAATGTAAAAAAAAAAAATAAAAATAACATTCTCATGAATGCAAATCTTCACTCCAACTTGACTTTGGTTCATGAGCTTGTCTTTATTTCCACAGTATTAGCTTATTTTAAATTTATGCTTTATTCTGTTTTGATGTTTAAATGGTTTTTCACATTTTGTAAGCTGCAGTAATAAGTTTCTGTGTTTTGTTTTTTTGTCCAGGTGTGTCATCATAATGTCCAAAAGCCATAAGAACGGAGGTACTGTGTGACATCTGAATATCCTCTGTATTGGTTTAGGTGTAGACAGGAGGAACTTGTTTTTACAGCCAATCCAGATTCATTTGTAAATTGCATGTTGACACACTGAAAGTACAGTTTGTCAGTTTCTTTTTGTTCTTGCTTTAACTTGTCCTGCACCAAAATCATTTTTCATTTTTGAATAAAACCTTTATTCCTCAATATTCTTTGTCAAAATAACTACAGGAGTAAAGATAAAAACAAAAAGCATGCAAATGGTCGTGTAAAGTTGGCTGTTTTCTTCTGTCCTACAGGACGTGCAGTGTTTTATAAACCATTTACAGTTGCAACAGAAATACGATCTGGATTCTTGTATAAGTCGCCCCCACAAAAGCGGCTGCAGCCAGAGGTGACAGATGTTACTTAATAAGAAGTAATTTGCATTTTGTTGTTTTGGCGTGCAGCCATTCAAACGCGTTTGTTTTGCAGAAATCATGGAAGAAGCGCTACTTTGTGCTTTACAAAATCAGTGAGCATGAATACCAACTCCGGTACTTCAAGAACCGCGAGGAAATGGGCAGCCCCATAGGAGGCATAGACCTGACACAGTATGTTCTCGTTACATTTTACATATTAGCAATCAACTTTTGACTAAACGTTACCTGTGCTCTTTTTTTCTTTTGTCTCATGTAATATATTTTCAGATGGAGGGAATTTAACAATTCCTTCCTTCCATTTAAGGCAGTGGTGTCCAAATTTTTTGACTTGTGGGTCAAAAATCAACAAGTTGAAAGTACTCGTGGGCCACAATAATGTGCATTTTTTTTAAATAATAAAAGATGCATAAATATATTTTGGATGATTTATTATTATTATTATTTTAAAACTGGGCAGCACGGTGGCGCAACTAGTAGAGCTGCTGCCTCTCAGCGAGCAGGTCCCTGGTTCAAACCCCGGTCCGGGGGCCTTTCTGGGTGGAGTTTGCATGTTCTCTCCGTGCATGCGTGGGTTTTCTCCAGGTACTCCAGTTTCCTCCCACAGACCAAAAACATGCATGTTAGGCTGATTGGTAACTCTAAATTGTCCCTAGGTGTGAGTGAGAGAGTGAATGGTTGTTTGTCTCGTTTGTCTCTGTGTCCCTGTGATGGACTTGCGACCCGTCCAGGGTGTCCCCCGCCCCTCGCACAGTGATTGCTGGACATGGGCACCAGCGACCCCCGTGACCCAAAATGGAATAAACGGGTAAAGATAATGGATGGATGGATGGATGGATTTTAAAACTGTCAACAACAACATTAAACCAGTATTTTAGTGAAAATAACATACGTTTGCAAAAGGGCATCAACTTTTTAGTTATACCATTCATAAACTGCAGTCGCTGACCACACAAAATCACAGCGAGGGCTGTAAATGGCCCATGGGCCATACTTTGGCCACCCCTTGTTTTAGGATAAGTTGATGCATTTAAAAGAAGCTGAATGACAGCAACTTAAATCCTTCCTGTCTTTTTTGTTTTACCTTTCTTCCATCAGAATCTCACTGCTGCACGGGAGCCCTCAGCACCACAATAAATGGCCATGGGTGCAGAAGACCTTCAAATGCTCCCCCTCCTGCGTGCTCTACATCAGGTCTGCAAACCGGGACTACTTCCTGGTTGGGGAGACGAGGTGAGTCAGTTTTTGTAATCTTACTTTAAATTACATGCATTTTTGCACCACTGTGCTGAAAGGACCCCTCACTTAGTTTTCATAACAACTGACGGGTGCTGGTTGGATCATTAGAATAAATCAAAAGCTGACTTTTTTTTAGAGAGCATTTTTTTTTCTAAACAAAGCTTATTCACCTACTTTTTGAAATAAACGTTTCTTTCCAATAAATAGCGCTTAAATATATTCTTATTCTTTTTCAAACACAGGTTGATCTTTTTATTGCTTAGTTTGCCTTCATTCTGAAAGTTGCTGCGACAGCTGGGTGAAGTTGTTTTTAGGCCTGTCGCATTAAACAATAAATAATTAATCGCATGATAAATGAAAATTAACCTCATCAACCTCATTTTCATTTATCGGCTTATCGTTTCTTCGTGTCTCTCTCTTTCCACTGAAGACACTGGATGACAAAAGGCTCAACTCCAGTGCTCTTCACTGACCCCTCCCGTTCTCTTTCTCTTTAAAATCCATTTTAACGATCCAAAATCACGTTTTTGGATCGTTAAACGCAGCTAAGCTGAGAAGCTAAGCTACAAGCTAAGCTAACGGGCCGAGCTTGGGAAAAAAACTTTGTCTTGTCAAAGCTCCAAAATTCACGGTTGAAACGCGTGCCTTCATGTAAAAAGTTGTTTTTCTCTGCACAGAGAAGCTGAGAACTAGTTTACTGATTTTTTACTAAAAGCTTTGTGTGAAAAATGTTATGCTAAAGAGCTCAAACCACACCGAGCGCCCGCCATGTTGAGAACCTAAGCAAAGTCACGTCAAGGGACCTCCCTCCCATTTATCGTAAAGAGACACGCTGCTCGCTCACTCACTATCCATCCTTCAGTTCAACCAGTTTTATACTGCCATCTGGTGGTCAAAAAAAGGTACTACACTCAAAACAAATTAACCAACATTTCTTCTTAAATTTGACAATAATTACTAATTATTGTAAAATTTCAAACATTATCGTTTATCGCAATAATTTCTGAGACAATTAATCGCACAGCAAAATGTGTTACCGTGACAGGCCTAGTTGTTTTTGTCTTGTGGCCCTCAGTGAGTCCACAAAATACTTCTGCCTGACCTCATCATCCTTTTACTATTTTTAGTGCCTAGACAATCAAAAAATAAATTATGATGCTGCTGTCCCCGTCAGACACAGCCGATCATCTGATAATGGATTTGAGCACGCCAAATCATTGCAAAATTGGTACCACATCCTCGTTGTGTTTGATTTTGGTATTGGGTGTTAAATTAAAGTGTTAAAAACATAATTTGTCAAGTCTCAAAATGGCTTTTTAAGTGATTCTTTTTTCCTTTAGCACCGAGATAGATGATTGGTTCTCTGACCTGTATGAAGCTCTGTCGAACCGGCCACATAAACTCCTCAGTTCAGAGGTACAGTTAGATTTGACTTTTTGTATATTTGCAATAATCTCATTGATACATCAATATGTATTTACATTGTTTTTATTACTTTATATTTTGTCCTATGTGCTTATCAGCAATTGCACATTATTTATTTGTGTCCATTTTCTTTAGGAAATTAGTAAAGGTCAGCCAGCAGCTGAGGTAAGAAATAAGAAGGCAATTTTATTTTTTTATCAACTTGCTGCAAACAAAATTGTTGAGTAAATATGTTTTTTTTCCACTAAATGATGAGAATTTGATATGAATAAAACTCACCTTTAAACACTATCAGTATTTATAGATTAAGAAACTTGCTTAATGTAAACTAAACTGTAAAAACTTCACAAAGCACCAACTCTAAAGCTCAAAATGACAGTGAACATCTTTTAACGAGGGGTTCCATAAAAAGACACGAGCAGTTAATATCTTACCTGTTGTAGACAGCTGTTTGGATAACTTTAATTTGAATAGAACCAAATTTATTTGACCAGACTGACGAGCTAACGGTGAGTCCGAGTGGGACAAAAATAGGCTGCTGTTGTATTAAAACAACTCAGAACTAAAATAATTTTATGCAAATGTTATTTCATGAACCTTTACATGGTTGTCAGGTTTCCATCACACTTATTTTCATAGATTTTCCAGATATTTGCAGGAGCAAACAGTGGCGGCAGCAGCTAGCTGTGGCAATTTCCGCATAGCCTGGGAACACTTTCTAAATGACTATCCTAAAGATTTTTCTGGAATGACCACATGATTGCATGATAAAGTTTGGGGGATTAGAGTTGTTTTAAAACATCAACAATCCACTTTGGTCTTGGATTTGCTCAGATCAGCATTCCCCTCAGTGGAAAGTCTAATTCTTCAAACTGACGATGTTCAAAAAGTGGTATAAGACAAGAGTTTGTCATTAACTTTCACACAGAACACCAGTTAAGAAGATATAAACCATCTTTGATGAACTTGCAGGACTTGAGACTTAACTCACAGACCATAGACCAGTCCTGTTTTTGTCCCAGAGAAAAGCCTCAAGGCATTAATTAGTGATGTATTTTTTTAATTTATTTCACATTTAAAAACTAGATTCCTGTTTTTTGTTTCTTCAGGTGATTTCCAACCCTCTTAAACGAAGCAAGACTTCAGTCACTGACAGTGACAAGGTTAGTCAAAGTAAAGGCTCTGCGCGGAGGATCTGGTTGTTCTGTCCAATTTATCCACTCATAAGTTCTGCCATTTCCTTGGTGAATGGGGTTTTTGTAAAGTTGATTCTTGCAGAGATCATGGTAATGAATTAAAATATATATATATTTCAATCTTTCATCAAACAATTTGGAGGACATCTTTCAGGTGGGGAAATGGTCGTCTTGTATTCTAAAAATCCACTCGACATTAGCTCGACAGTGTCTCAAGATAACTCCCATTTCATTCCTATTCTTCTTCTTCTTTCGGCTTTTCCCTCTTCAGGGGTCTCCACAGTGAGTCATCCTCCTCCATCTCACTCTGTCCTCACTCCAACTACCTCCATGTCCTCTCTAACTGCATCCATATATCTCCTCTTTGTCTTTTTCCTGGCAGCTGCATTTCTAACATCCTTCTACCAATATACCCACTGTCCCTCCTCTGGACATGTCCAAACCATATCAGTCTGGCCTCTCTAACTTTATCTCCCAGTTGTTCAACATGTGCTGTACCTCTGATGATCTCATTCCTAATTTTATCCATCCTTGTCACTCCTAAGGAGAACCTCAACATTTTCATTTCTGCCACTTCCAGTTCTTTCTCCTGTCTTTTTGTCCATGTCTCTGTCTCCAGACCATACAATATAGCTGGTCTCACAAATGTCATGTAAACATTTTCTTTGACCTTTGCTGACACGCTTTAGTCACAAATCACTCCTGAAACTTTTTTCCATCCACTCCATCCTGCCTGGACTCTCTTCATCACCTCTTTACCACATTCCCCATTTTCCTGGACAGTGGACCCAAGTGCTTGAAGTCGTGCACCTTTGTGACCTCTGCTCCTTGTAGCCTCACTGTTCCACCGGCCTCCCTCTCATTCACACACATGCACTCTGTCTTACTACGACAGACTTCATTCCTTTTTTTTCAAGTGCAAAAAAGTCCCATTTCATTCCTATACAATAAATAAATGTGACTGTAAGGAAATATAGATTAGGTTAACAGGTGATGTGAATCTTTTAAGTATTTTGGTTGTGTTTCTGGAGGAGGTCACTTCACGAGGGAAGAAAAAATTCACTTGGATCAACTTTTGTATTGACTTGCAGGCAGCCTTCCTCGTACAGCAAGAAGACGCCGTTGACAGTGCTGAAAAAAAGGATTTGACGCCCGTGCGTATACTTTTACTTTCACACTTATCCCCTAAATGCCAAGTTTTTTTAAAGTATTAGTGAGTTTGAAGCAGTGCTCTGTCATTACACCAAGAGAAATATTTAAATGTGCATGTGTTTCAGCAAGCACTGAAGATGAGGTCGATGTCTGATCCATCCTCCAACGTTTTGGATTCTGACACTGAAGTATCGAAGGTGCGACATCGCGGCTGTTTGTGCACAGTAGTGCTACCTCTGACCTTGGGAGTCTTTTCACAGAAACACAATGTTGTTTTTATTTTCTGATCGGCTTGCAGGAGGAAGATCATTGCAAACTCAGACGCGCATCTGAGCCCGTGAATCCACTCTATGACTACCCTAAATCCTATTTAAAGTCAAAGGTTGGTTATTCTGTAGATTGTTCCACTTTGCGTTCTTTTGTTTAAAAGTGTCAACATAGTTTGAAGCTAGGAGTTCAGGTTTACTTTGTACTTTTGCTCATATTCTTCTATTTTTATTTTTTTACGGCAAAACAGAGAAGGGAAGGGGTAGCAGCACGAGCCTGCAGCATGGAGTCACTGTGAGTTCCTATTTCTGTTTGTTAAACAAGAATTCTGCAGCTGTAAACTTGGATGTTTCTGTATTTAATTCCATGTATTGCCGGGTTTGAAAATCCATCTCTTCTAGATATGAATCCATGACAGAATTTAAATTTAACGAACCATCAGCAGAGTAAGTGTTCAGTTGATCTACGATAATTTATCAGAAAAGACACTGTTTCCTTATAATGTTTAAAAAATATATGCTTTCAGTGACCTTGAAGTTGCACAAGTTACCAGTGGCACCCTGATGAGGTCTATCACTCAGGTCTATGACAAGCTAAAGACACAAATATCCCCTGTCCCTACGTCTCCACAAGAGACAACTCCCGAAGACAGGTGAGTCAGATTTGGACTTTTCACCTTGTGTTTTTTTGTGACGTGCTGAAACGTGACCAAGCTAAACACAAGTCTGCTGCTCATTACAAGTAAACACAGCCTCATAGACTCAAATGCCTAAGCTAACAACAGTAAGCTTTTATTGAGCACAGAACTGTTGACAGCCCGGCCCATTCAAGAATCAGAAATATATCACTTCAGAACTTGTTTAGCAACTTCAGCGCTATCATTTCATCTCAGTTGTACTGTCTCACTCGACACAATGACCGAGCATAAACAGATTTTTGTAGCGTTTCACAAATGTACTGATGGTATCAAAGCAGAACACTGACGAGTGCCGCTTTTCTATGTTAAAGCAAGCGATCGTACAAGTCTGACACACTTTCTTTGAGAATTGTTCTTAGTATAAATATTCCAGCTCGGCCTGGTTGGATGAGGTGCATAAACCAAATATGTACAGTCATTCTCGTTTCACTGCAGAGAAGCTTTGAACCAAACTTGAGCTGGTCACTACAGGACATTTACAAATGTTTAAGCGAATTCTGTCTTCTCTTGGCCGTACACTTTATGTTGTTTTGTTGTTGTGAAAACAACCCCATTTCTTAGGACCATTAAAAAGCTTTTCACTGTAAAACACCTTGTACTTTTTCCCCATGTGTGCTTTCACTTCACTTCAAGCTTTGGTCCTCAATCAGAGGTCTGGGAGCTCGAAGGCTCTGTACTGTTCTTAGGACTGCAATCTTCTGGACAGAGATCTCCAAGGTTGTCCCTGGGATCTGTTGGAGTCACTTCCAGTTCGGAGGTCACAGCACTGTGCCCCGATGACAACTGAGCCTCTACTTTCTGCAACTATTTGTTGAGCTTCTTATGTCCCTCCGTCCCTAGGTGTGAGTGAGAGAGTGAATGGTTGTTTGTCTCGTTTGTCTCTATGTGGCCCTGTGATGGATTTGCGACCTGTCCAGGGTGTACCCCACCCCTCGCACAGTGATTGCTGGACATGAGCACCGGTGACCCCCGTGACCCAAAATGGAAGAAGCGGGTAAAAGATAATGGGTGGATGGATGGATGGATGTTCCTCCTTCCTGATGTTATAGTCACTTGGGATAGCTGTATCTTTCACTGCTGCCTTCTTCTCTTGCTTGTCAGCCACCACAATGTCCGGTTGGTAAGCCATCACCTGTTTGTCAGTCTGGATCTGGAAGTCCCACAGTATCTTAGCCCCGTCAGTCTCCACCACCCTTGGTGGCATCTCCCACTTTGAGTGTGGGACCTCCAGTCCATACTCGACACAGATGTTGCTGTATATTTTTCCAGACACTTGGTTAAGGTGTTCCATGCTTGCATGGAACACCTTAACCTTTTTTTTCCCTTCTTCTTTTGGCTTCTCCTTTCATCAGGGGTCACCACAGCGAACTAAGTCATACGAAGACTTGGCAATTATTATTTTTTATGCCAGATGCCCTTCCTGACACAACCACAGACCACCGAGCTACCACAGCCCTCTGTGTGGAGCAGAGAGCTGCTACCTAAGGTGCCCAGGGAAGCAGATGGTGGGGGTTAAGGGCCTTGCTCAAGGGCCCAGAGTGGTGCAAATGAGGGTGGAGACAGGTGTGACCGCTCTACTTAATCCCACCCACATTTTGATGTTGTCGGTACCGGGAGTTGAACCTTCAATCTTCCGACCACAGGCCCACCTTCTCTAACATCTGCGCCACCAGTCCCTTGGTTTGGTCACTGGGTTTCTGTTGTCTGAGATATGCACCTTTCAGTTCATCATCAGGGGCTTTCCTCCTGATGTACATCAGAATCTTAGTTGTTTCATCCTGTATAGTGGCTTGCCTGGATCTTATACCCTGCTATTATGTGTTGGACAGTCTCAGGGGCATCTTTGCACAGTCTGCATCTTGGGTCTTGTCTAGTATGGTAGGCCTTGGCCTCTATTGCTCTCATGCTGAGTCTGTTCTTGTGCTGCCATGATTAGTGCCTCTGTGCTGTCCTTTGGTCCAGCCTCCAGCCCTCTAACCATTGACATGATTTGTTGATAGCAGTCACTTCCTCAATCTGCCAGTGGTACATACCATTCAGGAGCTTCTTTTCCAAGATGGCTCCTCTTGTTCCTCCTCCTCCACACTGGGTTTTTGCCGCCTGAGATATGCACCTATCAGTTCATCATCAGGGGCTTTCCTCCTGAAGTAATCCAGAATCTTAGTTGTTTCATCCTGTATAGTGGCTTAGATGCTCACTGGTACTTGGCCTCCCTTCTTTCTCTTAGTGTAGTTTCTGAGTGCTGGACTCAGAGTGTGACCGCCATGCATTGTGAGGAAATTTCTAGTCTTGATGTCAGTGGCTTCTATCTCCTTTAGCCAGGCTATTATACCAGTTGGGTATCTGATGACTGGCACTGCATACATGTTGATGACCGAGCTTTGTTCTTACAGCCTCACCTTACTGTAGATACTTGGTTGTAGTTGACTTCCTTGCAGCCACATGATTTGCTGTTTGCCTGGGGGGTTCCAATGTATTGATAGCTGTATATGTTGCATCCCAGCCCCTTTTGAAGAAAAAAATATTTCCACAGTTTCCCACCATCTTTTCTTGTAAGGGTTTTATTAAATGACAATTAATCCCATGTCCCTTTTCTGATATGTTGAAAGTTGTGGTCAATCAATTTTCCATCAAAAGATTTTTCTTGCCATAGTCCTTTGTCCTGCCTAAGCTAGTCAGTAAGCTAGTCGTGGGTGGCTGTGGCTGAGTGGCTAGAGCAGTCATCCTCCAATGCAAGAGCTGGGGGTTCAATTCCACTAGCAGTCACATGCCGAAGTATCCCTGGGCAAGACATTGAACCCCTCGTTGCCTCTGATGTGTGTCCTGTCGGTGTATGAATGTGATAAAGCACTGATTATTCTTTGTATAGATCTAGTAGAGGGCTGAATGAATGAGGGTACAGATTGTAGTGTAAAGCACTTTGAGTATCTTGATAAGATAGAAAGGTGCTTTATGAGTACAGTCCATTTACCATTTGCGTCTGTGATTAAAATCCCACTAAGCATTCATGGCCCCATCTCTGAAGAATAATTTATGTTTGACAACTCTACAATGAAGGGCTGGTTGGTTCAGTTGCCTCGCTGATGGTCATCTCTTTGTGTGTTTCTCACTTTCAAAAACAAACCCTCAGAATCCCATTCAAATATCCATTTTTGTTGTTGGTTACCTGTGTGACAAAGACTTCATCCCAAGCCATTCTAGAATTTAAGAAAGACGGAGGTTGCTCTGCAAATGCTTTCATAACTTTTTCGCTCTTTAAAGCCCTGACATTTCATTTTCAGTCAGATCCTCTGTTTCTACTAAACAGCAGGTTTTCGCCTAACGGTTTGACCTTAAACAGCCCTCTGTGTTAATCATCACACCACAGAGACCAAGTGATACTCGCCTGTTCCAATTATTCCATGCCATCATCTGCTGCCTGCCTGCTGCTCGTTTGCTTCACGGAGTTATATCAAACTGTGTAATAATTCTTAAATTCACTGATGTCTGATTTGTGGCAAACTGCTGTGTGGCCACACTAAAGAACTTTTTTTTTCCTTCTGTGCTTGAACGTCAAAGGACTCCTCTCGGGCACATTTCTTAATTAAAGATTTGCCAGCACCTCGGCTGTGGTTTTGTAAATCTCTTGGTATCATGCTGCTCTCAAACTATTTTAAACAATCTTAAGATATTTGTTCCTCTTAAATTGCATTGTGTAAAAACTGTTTGCTTTTTGGCATCCGTTCATCACTTCTTTCGGCATTTGTTGTTTTTGATCAGTGCAACAGCTGTAATTTTTTTTTTTTTTTCAGCGTATGCAGATAGAAGCTAAAAATAAACACAAAGCTTTGCTCTATTACTCACGGTGCATTACAGACCCTGTGTGGATTGTTTTTGCTGTCTTTGTCTGACGAGCTAATGACGTGCGCCGAGATCAGATGTTGCAATCTGTCATGCTATCTGTGGGTATTACAGGGAAGAAAAACGTCAATCTTCAGATTTCAGCAGCAGCTCCAGTGGTGCCATTTCCCCCGTGGACATACTGGAGAGACAGGCGTACTCCCCGGAGAAACAAAGCTCCACGGAGAGGTGAGGTTCACCTGTGCCAATAAAACGCAACTACCACTTCTGGATTGTTTGAATTTAAAATATGACTTGTCAGACTTAATCTAATTCAATAAGAGCAGGATAGACTCAGTATGAGTGGTAAGGATAAAACCAGATGCACCGTGGAAAAAGTGACAAACAAACAAGAGACATCACTACAGTTACTGTGAGACAACTTAACAAGGAATGCTGGGGACGACCCGCTGGACCGGCTGGGGCCGTTTCTAGAAGTTCCTTCCTGCTGACAGCAGGACGATAATAGATCATTCAACAAAACTTCAAAAGTTAAAGTTAGGTACTCATAAACCCTCATTAAAAGACAAATCCTAACAATTCCAAATGGTGGAGACAATCGGCGCCAATTTAGAGCTCAGAAAAAAAGAACTAAAACTTTTAATTAGCCTTTGCTAATTTTAGCTGCTATATTTGATGCAATCAGCGAATTTTAGGTGATTATGAAATAATGATCTCACCTTGAATTACGTACAATAAAAGCATCAAATCAAGTGCTCCAACATGAACATGGCATGAACTCAACATTTTTGCTTTAAATTTGAAAATACAGCTTTAAAGGTCACTGAATAAATCTCTATATTACCTGAAGGCAAAGCGGCGATCACGTTTTTGCTCATTTGTTACCAAGATGTAAATAAATATATATCTTTATTTTTCCTATCAGCCTGGACCGTGCCATGCCAGGGGAGAGGCAGTTTAAGGTGAAGCAGGCAGATCTGAAAAAAGACCTCACACTGACAGAAGCTGATGGCAAACTAAGGTAAGTTTGGTGTATGATTATACATCACGGTCTGGAACCTTTTTTTTTTATGGTTTGCGTTAAATATCTAAAAAAGGGTTGTCTAAAGGGAAATATTGGGATAAACGCTGCATGCTTACTATTCATGAAAACACACCTCTTGAGCCACAACATCACATACTGCTATTTTACAAAAACACAAAGCATTCCAGGAGAAGATGGCCACGATGCTGCACGTCCTTATTTGTTCCTTTGGCAGCAGAGAATAAACCTGCAGCTTAATCAGGCTCTACTTTCTTCTGAGGGAGCTGTCGATTCATTTGTGGAGGATAACGGAGTCCATTCAGAGGATTGTGTGAGAGTCTGAGTGTTCATGATGAGATTAGTAATTGCTGCGTGGATTATCTAGTTTAGATTCCCATATTTCACAGCAATTCTGATGTGGGGAGGGGAAAAAAATTCAAGCGAAGCTCATTCTAGCACCAGAAACGGGCTTTATGGTGTGACTATTTTGTTGCGCCAGAAGCTAAAAAACATTCAGTTTTAACTTCGGCGGATAGTCTGGTGACTTTTGAAGGGATGTTTTGTCAAATAGTTTACTTTATTAGCAGTGACATCAGATGTAGAGCACTGGGTAAAGAGAAAAAGGCCAGAAGCCATTTTTAATTAACTACTTTTAATATTGTAAACTTGTAACGCAGAGTTGTTGCTTTTTCTACATTAGGAATGATCTTTAAGTGAACTATTAGAAGACTTTCAGCACTTTCCTGAAGAGATTTCAACACATATTTAAGGCTGAAGCTGAATGTTAGTACAGGCTGCAAAGTAAAAGCAGCCTTTACTGCAAATTGAAGCTTTGTTGCATGGCAGTCAAGTGGTATCCATTGACTGGTTTACATAAAAACCATAGTCACTATGACAATACTACTTAGATACTCCTATTGTGCAAGTCATGATGGAAACAGTCCAACAGGAAGTAACATACGGTAATATCTTTAAGTCAGATGGTGTGTTTGTGTGTGAACAGCGTGTCTGGTTGGACGGGACAGCCGCAGTCCGTGTGCCTCTTCCACAAAGGAGACCAAATTCTGGCCATAAACGACTTGCTCATCAGCGACATCGACGAGTTCAACGTGCTTCTCAGCAAGTCACTCAGGAAGGAGGTACATCCATACACACCAGATTAAAGCGCTTTGAAAGTGTCTTTGCACACCTTGAACTTTTGCACGTTTTGTCACAACCACAAATGTCAAAGTATTCACGGGGATTTTCACTATTGTGCATAATGATAATAAAGTGGAAACAGATAGATGACTTTCAAAATGTTTTTACAAATACAACAAAGTTCAGTCAGGTCATCTGGGCGGTTTATATTTTTGTTGAGATGTTTCGTCCTTCATCCAAAGGACTTCATCAGTCCGAGGAGCCACTCCCATTGTGATTGGACCAAGTTCGCTGGTGATATGATGGTTTCTGGGGCCCGCCCTCTCCTCCATCGACTCCTCTGCAGCAGCCATAGCTAAAGTGGTTCAAAACATCAAAGTTTTGAAATCCTTTGGATGAAGGATGAAACGTCTCAACAACAACAAAAAAAAGAAACTGTCTAGATGACCTGACTGAACTTTATTGGATTTTCTACCTGGATTATTGAGCATGAACTTTGATGTTTTGAACCACTTTGACTCTGGCTGCCTCAGAGGAGTTGACGGGGGAGAGGGCGGGCCCCAGAAACCATCTTATCACCAGCAAACTGGTTGGTTTACAATGGGAGTGCACTGCTTGTGGGACTGATTAAGTCCTTTGGATGAAGGATGAAACATCTCTACAAAAAAACAAACCATCCTGATGACCTGACTGAATTTTGTTGGATTTTTTTTTACCTGGATTATTGAGCATGAACCTTGTTTTCACAAATAAATTTTGGTAACGTGCGGTGTGCATTTGTATTCAAGCCTGTTAGAGGCTGCAAACGACCTGAGACTTTCAGCAGGACGACGACACGCAACATTCAGCCAGAGCTACTTTGGAACGGGTTAAACCAAAACGTGTTCATGTGGTAGAACGGTGCAAAGTCCAACTGAAAAATCTGTAGCAAGACTTGAAAACTGCTCTTCACAAATACTCCATCCAATCTGACTGAGCTAGTCAGTAACATTAGCAAAAAAAAAGAACGGAAAAATATATAAATATTTATACGTATAAGTATAATTCCCTTCCACTTCAGGATTATATGCTTCTAATTTGTGCTATCACATAAAAAGTCCCACTAAAATACACTGATGTTTATGGCTGTAAAACATGACAAAGCACTGAAAGGTACAAGGAGCTGTATTTTCTATATGTACACATCAGTGCAGCCCCTCTGATAAGCTGATCTGCTTTCAGGTGATAGTGACCATCGTGCGTCAGAATGGATGCCAGCCTCTGCATTTGCCAAACTGCCCCTGTAGCGACTGAGACACTTCCCTGCCCGCCCTAACCTCTGAACGGGGTTTGTACCATATTGTAAACTACTGACAGTATTTTCCAGAACTGTGGCCACTTTTTATTCGATTGGTCTGTCCCTCTGTCTGTTCTGAAAATCTTCAAGAGGGTAAAATGCAGGTTTCTGTAAAGAGATCCACGTTTGCCAACTGTCTTGATTTCTTGCATGTCCAGCGTCATGTCACTATATGATGCTCACGCTGCCAAGTCGGCTTTAGACACAAAGGTGAGCACCTTATTAAAATGAATGCCCTCATAGTTTTGTTAATGCGTAATGTCAGTTTCATGATGCAAGCTCCTGAGTATGAAACAAAAGCAAGAGAATTGTGGTTACATTGTATAAGCTGAGTAACATAAACGGTGTGAAGATGCAGAAAAGTACCTAAGATTGCTGGTGGTTGAAGATTGAAGTGCTATTTTTAGTATTCAGTCGTTTCACAGGGAAGAGGAAACACCAGTAATCAAAACTGTTGTTGGAGGCACACCTGGGTTACTAACGCGTACGTCATCCCTGCCTCAGGGACCATGAATCATTTTCATTCAGCTCAGCGTGTCTCGCCTGTAATGAGACGTCCTTGTAAGGCATCGCCCAGTGAATAGGGAGTTCTTTGGAGCACAAAACAAACCTGTTTGTTGGCATTTATTTTACTCCCCCTCCCCAGCAAACATAGGTTTTTAATTGAACTTTGTATTATTTTAAATCAAAAATGGCTTGTAAATAATGACTGGTGAAGAAAGAGATTGGTGTTTTATACCTTCCACTCCTCGGAGAATTTAAGGTGAAGACAGAATGGTGTCACGCCTAAGGATACGTTTCACAGGTTTGTGTTTTCAACTCCTTTGTTGAAACTCTTGTTCCTGTTGTACATTATGTAGCTGCTAGAATCAAATAGAGACCTACTGTATCCACAAAGTATTTCCACTTGAATTACTATAAACCAGCCAGATTTAAAACGCTTAAAAAAAACAACAACTTGCTGCTGTCCCCAGAGGTCGAGAACGAAGCTCTTATTTTCTAATGTCAAACAACATAATCTGACGTGAACGCAAAGGCGATGAATGTTTCAAGTTTTAATGGAGTCCTAAAAACAGATTAGTCAAGACGAGTTTTCAACGATAGAATTCAACTGTGATGTTCAAGCTGTGCTGTATTATAAATGTGTTCCTTATTTATGTCTCCTTTGCAACGGGTGAAGAAAATCTCGGTTGTTGTGGGAAAAGTGAATCTGTACTAGACTTGTAAAAATCATGAATAAATGTTATCACCAACAACTGGTCTGTTTTTAATGTGTAAGGATTGTTTTAAAATCACGGAGCGAGTTAAATGGAAATGTGAGTTAAAGATAGAACAGAATTCATTAAGGGTTATTATTAAAGAAGCTGCAAAACAAAAAAAGCTTCTTATGAAATACAACTTCCTAAATGTATTATTTGGCTGAATTTGATGTTTTTGCCTGTGTCTATCACCAAAATATCTGAATGGATGTGAATTAAATTTTCTGTAATTACTGCCTTTAGATCAAGGTTCAAGATTCTTTAATGTCATTCGCATGAGGTGGAACAAAATTGTGTACCCAAGGTCCCATTTGCACCCAAAAATAGCAAAAATATAAAGTATAAAAAGAAACAGTATACAAGGATCTGTGATACATGCTAAACAATAATGTTGTAAAAATAATAAGGTATTTTAAACAGCAGCCTGAACATGAGTCTGTAGTGAGCAGATGGGTATGAATACAGCAGCATAAAGGCAAGAGCTCAGCAGCATGGCTAATCAGCTGCACAGATACTGTAAGTCACACATATCACCAATAAACAAGTGTGTGCGCTGGGTGAGTGGGGTCCTTCATGATGCAGGTGGCCCTCTTCCTGCATCTAGAGGTGTAAATGTCTGTGATGGTGGGGAGACTGACTCCAACAGTCTTCTGTGCAGCCTTCACCACTCTCTGGAAAGCTTTTCTTTCTGCAGCTGTGCAGCCTCCATACCACACATTGGTGCTGGAGCACAGGATGCTCTCCACTGCACACCTGTAGGAGGTGAGGACTGAGCTTCCCAGACCAGCTCGTCTCAGCCGCATGAGGAAGTAGAGTCTCTGATGAGCTTCTTGATCAGGCTGGTGGAGTTGTTGTCCGAGCTGAGATCGTCATTCAAGTGTACACCCAAGTACTTGTAGCTGGAGACCACTTCCACTGCAGATCCTTCTGTGTTCAGGGTGGGGGAGGGGTAGGAGTGTTTGCTCTTTCTGAAATCCACGACCATCTCCTTCATCTTCTTCACATTGATGTGAAGGTTGTTCTTCTTGCACCAGCTCTCCAGGTGTTCCACCTCCTGCCTGTAGCTGGACTCATCATTGTTTGTGATGCATCCCACCACCGCTGTATCGTCTGCAAACTTTACAATATGACAGCCTGGATGGGTAGATGTGCAGTCCTATGTGAGCAGAGGGAACAGGAGGGGGCTCAACACACAGCCCTGAGGGGAGCCAGTGCTGAGGGTTATGGTGGATCCTCACAGACTGCAGCCTGTTGGTTAAGAAATCCAGGACCCAGTTGCATAGGGAGGGGCTTAGACCTAGTGTGAGTAGTTTGTCCTTCAGGGTCTGGAGAATCAAGGTGTTGAAGGAGGATGTGAAGTCCACAAAGACCATACGATACGATAATCGACATGATAGCACATGATAATCTCATTTAGAAATGGCAGATTGGTAGCCGTTTTGGTCAAACCTTGAAATTTTTTTTGCAGAACCTTGTTATTGCAAGATGTATGGATCAGAATCTCCTTTGGAAAAGCGAGCAACGAACAGGAAAGATTCCTAAAGGACACCGATCCAAATCCAAAAAACTGTGACTCAGGTTTTAGCTCAGTCTCTTCAAAGCGAAGCGTTTTAGTCTGATATAGTGAGATCTTTGATCCATTAGCATTTAGAATATGGTTTGTGTTGTGGATGCTGTCAACTACAACCACACCAAATTGTAGCAGTTTCTGAAAAATTGACTGAATCTGTCATTTTTATGCTGTCCAGGGTCAGTTGGCTGTGGCAAACATCTTGAACAGTGTTGGCTCCAAAAGCTAAACATCATAAATTCAATTATTTTATTTTCCGTGAAAGTTTCTTCAAAAATTCGTTCTGCGGTTCATGAGATATTTTAGACCAACACAATGGACACATTATCGCCCTTTCACCTTTTGGTGGCAGGTGATAAAAATGCATTGGCTGCAACACCAAAACTTTTTCTTCAAGCGTGTAATCTTGATTTTAAGTACAACGTCACCTCAGGCTGCTTTCTAGAGACTGAAACTAGCCTGAGATGAAGAACTTGTTCAACTGCAAATCTTGCTTTGCAGCAACTCAGGTCTTTGCTGCACGTTTCTGTCGGCTCAGAGATAAAACACCTGAAAGAGCCGACGGCACACTTTAAATTTTTTTTTTGCAGTTTCAGCTCCGGCACACCACAGCGCAAACACTCGCTCAACAATCCATGTTCCATAATGGAGCTACTGCACACACAGTTACGAGACGTTTGAGGTCTGGCACCCTTTCAGAACCAAAGGAGCTAAATTGCCATTGTAGTATCAGTGTGCAAAAGAAAGACAAATACTGCAGGAGTTCGTTTAATTTAATTTTACATATAAAATTTGACATAAAAACATGTAGAGAAAAGTTGCAGAGTTTAAAAGCAGCACGCTGATGAAGGAAAAGATAAATCTGGAGGTGGCCACAGCAGGCGACACATCCAGTTAGCTCAGCAGCGAGCAGAATGTCTGAGTTTAACTAAACGTCTGCGTAAACAGCTTCATTAGGGGTAAAAATCAGACACAGGTCGTGGAGTGTATCATGAGTTCATTTCAGTTCAAGCTCTTTGCATTAAAAAGGCATGTGCAGGTATTATTTTAACCTGCAGGCTGCAGATGAATTTATGAGAGCATCTTTACAGTTTGGCTTTGCTTTCTGTCATCCACTCGCCGAAACATTTCTCCATGGCCTTCCTGCTCGACCAGCTGCCAACGTTAACTGTAGGAATGATCTTGAGGGGCCGGAGCCACTGAACGAATCGCTTCAGTTCCAAGAAGCTGCTGTGCTCACTGTACGGGATTCCTGCAACGGGAAGGAGAAAATCTTTTACCAGTAATTTCAAACTTTATATCCCCTCCTCCCTTAAAAAAAGTGCTCATTGCCAAGTCATGAACACAAGTACAAAAGAAATTCATCAAGTAAGAAACAAAATTTGTATATTTTTAAAGTCGACGGTTATTTTTTCATTCGGTAAAATTGTAAGCATTTGAGACCAGATAACAACTACCCTGGCTTTTGTTCACATCCAGAAACAGCAGAAGTGGCTGAAACTAGTTCAAAGCAGGTGACGTCCAGGAAGTCAAGTGAAGTCAAGGTTCTTTACTGTCATTCGCATCACGTGGTGCATGAGGTGGAACGAAATTGTGTACACAGGGTCCCAGTTACATCCAACAATAGCAAAAATATAAAGTATACAAAGAAACAGTAAATAAGGATCTAAGATATAAACTAAGATATACGCCAAACTGTACGCTAAAAGATCTAAGGTATACACTAGTGCTAGTCAATATACTAGTATATTGGTATACTAGTCAATAGTGCAAAGCAATACACCGAACAGCAGCAGCACAATTCTCATAGGTTCTGTTTGGCTATAATTTACAAGTTTAATGTGAGCGGAGTCAGGCTCGGAGCCGACCCCAAATCTAACATAAACTAGAATTTATTCACAGCATGCAACAAAAATACAGAAACAAGGTGCCAAATGTGAAAAATAAATAAATCTACAGCAGCATGGTCCTATTGGCAGAGTGGTTCTGATGACAGTGAGGTTTCTCTTAGCAACATGGTCCAGTTAGCAGCATGATACTGTTAGCAGCGTGGCTCGGTTAGCAATGAGGTTTCTCTTAGCAGCATGGTCCCATTGGCACCATAATAATAATAATAATAATAATAATAATAATAATAATAATAATAAT